TTTGAGGCATAATAATGAGTTGGTGATACCATGAAGCAATCTGTTAACTAATCAGGGGATGAGGTGGTAGTGTATCGAAAGTTTGTGCCGCTCGGTGGTGTGTGCCGCTCGGTGGTGGATTACGTTAAGGCTTAGTGCTGACTAAGCCGCAATGTAGTAGGGGTCGGTTTAACGGTTAATTTCATGGGATCAGACTTTAAATCTTTAAGCCTTTCTATATTGCTTTTTCTGCTGCCACTAGCCTTATAGCCTTGTAGAGGTTAGCGCCTCACCTCTTAGATTGATATAATGTAGGGTCCTTGCGGCTAACCTCTACAAGACTATGCTTTTTACCTGTCCAAATCTCAGCTAAAGGATAGAATCATGATCACCTGTTTCACTAACCATCCGTCATGGTTCTGAATACCACAATTCCAAGGTCTCTTTCTGACGAGGAGAGTTTATCTGATTTTCGTGTCTCCCTCCCATCAGCGAGGATCTGGAACGCTTGGCTCAACTGAATAGACGTGGACATTTCAATCAGGCAATCACTCTTTTCAACGAATGTCTTGCATCTCATGTTGATTTCTTCCTAGTTGTGGCAGAGTATGCAGACCTTCTGCTTGAGTAAGGGAGTTTTGGATAGCTTCGTCGGTAGCAGCCGTCTGTTTGATCCTCTTGTGAGGTTTGGCGATGAGGAGGTCCTTCTGCTGAAGCCGCTCAAGTCGGTTGCGGAGATTTATACCAACGGAGCATTGATCCCGGCATTGGGGATGACGCTTGAAACGCTGAAACATCTCGAACGTCAATCCAGAGAGCTTCCGATGTGGTTCAAACCCCCTACTGGGGTTCAGGTATGTAGTAGGGAGCGAAGTGTCGAATATGCCAAGTCAATCCTAGTTTGAGTACTTTTATAGAGGTCGAAGTGCAGCCATGAAGAAATCCTTCGGGAGCCCCAATCCAAACGAAAACGTAAATACTACCTACTCCTGGCACAGCTGAGGACATACAAACAAAATTGTTAGCGAGTGAATGAGGTCCATTGCCAGAATTAAGTGTACAAGCCCCTGGCATTAATCACATTGTCAACACCCACTCCGTGCATCTATTGCGGAGAGCCTGAGAGGTAACATGCATTCTTCAGGAGAAGCAATCAACAAATAGATGGTATTTCCTCTTCTAGTATTAGCAGAGTCTTTCCGAGCAAACAAAAATGTCATATCTGTTCCATAGTCCAGTCCACGCCAAAGCAAGACACACCATCTCATACTCATGGTCCGGTACAGTCTCAATGACTGAAACTTTCAAGTATACCGAAGAAATATCATATTAGACACATCCATGCGTCAGATCTCTTCCCAATCTCAATGTAAAAATCACAATTGACCCGTAACAAGCCCCTAGACTCTTCTCCTCCCAGTGCAATATCTCCCATCCGCAGCGAAGGAGAAGATCCTTTGTCTTAGCCCATTCAGCGGCAACTTGAGATCCCTTCCATTGGACAGTGAGGGTGTCTTTGCCGTACTTTTTCCGATACCCTTCGATAAGATCTGGAACCATACAAAACTCCTTTGGGCTGTACCTAGCGCCTGCCTGGTGGTACTCCCATTCCTGGAAAGAGGTTTCGCGAGGGTGAAAAGGATTGAACAAGGGCAGTGGATCATACTCTTGCAAATCAACCTCTGGATACAACAGGCGAGGTACCAGCTCTTCTCGGCAGTCAGGCAACAACATCGTCACGATGAGAGGGTTGTCGGACCAGCTCAGCTTTCGGAAAACCCGCTCAATCCTCGGACTGATGACTTCGAACCAGTCGTGCGAAGTCCCGTCCAGCCATGTATCATAGGATGCGACAGTCAGGCGCCTGGCCACCCCACTCAGATTGTTGCATTTCCTTGCGCTGATTCTTTGGTTTCCCTCATGGATTCTCACGTCAGACTCGTAGACGATCTCGAGATGCTTAAGCCGACATATATTGCGTCTGCCAATCATCTCCAGCCATTCATATAACAAGGCCCAGTCAGCCTCGCCATCGCTGACGTAGAACCGGAATGTGTTTTCAGCGAAGAATACTCTGGCCGCTTCTTGATAGATGGTGCTGTTGCAACGAAACAAGGGCAGTGCTGAGCAAGGGAGATTTCGTGCTTCGTATCGTCCCCTGACCTTGCGTTTCAGAATCGGATCGAAGAACGCTACATCTGGTCCTTCGGATTTCCATTTGAAAAACCGTCTTTGGCTGATGCAGATGGAGCCTGCTTCCGGGGTAAGTAAGTATCGATAGATTAGTAGGCGGATCTCGGGGGGAAGAAACAGGAAACTCTTGGGATTATTGGCTGATTCCATGTTGCTGATGAGGGAGAATATGTTTCATCGGAAAAATCTGTAGAGATATCACGACCTCTTGCCCTCAGGCAGCAATGACATACGGTTGTGTAATTCTGATCGCGACACTTTGTCCCGATGGCCAGCAAAGTTTGAACCATCCCGTACCAGACTTTATGCCTTACTCTTGCGTTCAGGATGAAAGGAAGCTATATCAACAGGAGTGAACACTATTCCAAGGCTAGCATTCACTATGGTAAGAGGAAATAAGAGAAATGGAGCAGTGAATGCCACATGTGCCAGTGAAGGGAGCAGCAGGAGGACCAGGCTGACCTACTATCTTCCTAAGAAGGCAAATCCTACAGCGTGATTCAGTACTTGCAATCCAAGGTGTGGATATACACCATGATCTTCAGCCACATAGCTTCAGTAGATCTGGCCTATGATGGACTTCCTGACTATGTATATGATAGCATAAAGTAGGTGCATTTTCGACACAAAATGCGAAGCACTTCTTTGTTGGACTTGAGAATCATGCTTCGCCTGGTCTGAGGCAGTAGAAGGACCAATTCCGCTTCTTCCCCTAGCTTAATTAATGTATCATTCATTGGACGTCTAATCTTGATTGAATCTGAATGCGTCAATGCGAGTGATTACGCGCTAATGTCTCATATCTTCCCTTTGCCAATGCATACACGGTTTCCAACCGGGGCATGCTCACTTCATGTTTCCGAGCCAGTCTCACCGTGTTCCCAACAATCGCTTCGACTTCAAATGATCGACCCTGCTTGACATCCTGCAGCATACTCGGATCGCGTCCTGTTCCTGTTTCCGCCCGACGGGTTGCCGTTTGAAGCCGTACCCTCGCTGCCTCCTCATCCACCCCGGGAATTCCCACCTTCTTGGCCAGTGCCACAATTTCCATCATAATCCCCCAGACTAGTTCAAATGCGAAGGGCTCTGAAGTGAAGAGGAAGTCCCCATCCGAGCACATGCTCAGCGCGCAGATAGGATTCCACGACGCGTTGACGAGCAACTTAGTCCAGCGCGCGATCTGAATGTCGTCGTGCAGTTTGGCCTCGCCGCCGCCTTGATTCATCAGGTCAACGAGCTTGCTGGCCGCTGCTTTATGTGTAGCGGGTGCGTTGGCGGGATAGGTTCCCAGTTCCAGCAGGTTCAGCATTTCGGGGTAGTCAATGATGCCCGGACCAGTTTGGGTGGATGGTAGGTAGATGACACCGCTGAGGATGGGATTCTCTGGGAATTCGGCTGCAACATCCCTCTCAATCTCTATACCGTTCTGAGCTAGGACGATGGCCGTCTCTGGACGGCCGATAAGTGCCGGTCTGATCAGATCTGCTAGTGACGGCTTACTACCGGGGAAGCATTTCGCAGTCACCAGGACATAATCATATACTGCGTCTTTGGGGCATTCAGCGACACTGCGAACGATATGATCTGGGTGATATGTGACGTTGCCAAATCGTACACTTGTCAGTGTAAATCCATGCTGCTTGACGACATCGTAGTTGGACCGACACACGGCTGTCACGGTGCATCCGGCACGCTGCAGTTGGAGGAGATAAATGGCGCCGATGCTGCCGACCCCGAAGAGGAGAATATGCGGCTTGGACCGCATGGCTGATGTGACAAGTGAGGAGCCGTGGTTATGGCAGTTGAATGATGAATTGATGAGGGCGAAGAGTTATCTGGAGACGGTGAGTCAATCTTCTGGCGCCAAGGCCATTGTTCCTTCCGCAGTGGGTCTATTCTATAGAAATAGATAGACAACCACAGCCATTTCTAGCGTTGTAGACATGATAGAGCAATAACAAGTTCAACAGGTTGATTTACCCGGCTCAACATGAGCTTGGCTTTCTCGTCTTCTTCTCCTCTTCAAAAAGCCACAATGTCCTTTCAAGAGCTTCCTCCAGAGATCATTTCTCTAGTTATTCGCTTCCTTACTGACAACCATTCTCTCAGTGTCTTTCGCCTGCTCCGAGTCGACAAGCGATGCTTCGCCTTGGCTCTGCCAATAGCCAAGTCGCTCGTCTTCCATACAGTCCGATTAGACCTGTGTGTCAATCGACGCGTTGGCAGACAGGTAGCGAGGCTCTGTGCCCAGTTTCAAAAGGCTAATGCCTTTACTTGTGTCAGGCGACTCATCATCGAGGGCCATTTCTCGTTTGGCCGTGGATCTAGGGATAGTTACGAGTGGAGTCCACCCAGCGTCTCACATTTCTCGTCGTTTAGTCGCGATCCGCAAGATTCGGATGAGTCTGAAGAGCAGAATCTCGTCAGAAAGGGATGGAACCAGTATATCCACAGATGGAATGGGCACTATGGATGCTGGGAAACTGTCGCGGGGTGGATTAAGAGACTTCCTACCCTAGAAGATCTTCACTATTTGCACAGCGAACAATTCCCCCCTGCCTGCTTCAGACATTGCATCAACACCGACCGGAATGTAGACTGCATTTGCAGTCATTCGAGCTGCGGAGTATATATGCTCCTACAACTGACGAACATGAATATCGGCTAGTCACCTCGCCGTCTCTGAATACTATCAGTCCATACTATGAGACAAATACGCCAGAAGGTATTCGGCAGAAGCAGGCCTTCTTGCGCATCTTGAGCCTCGCCCCGAACTTGAAGGCGATATACCTGAACGTGAAACAGAATACCTCTGATGTGCCAGCCGCTGGGACATACTCAAGATGGTCCAAATTTACACAAGAACAAGGCGAAGGACCCTTTCATCTAGCCGCAATAGAATGTCTCCGAGTCAGACACGCCTACGATCCCATGCCTGCCGCTACACTGGAGGAATTGGCTGCGTACATTGATTTCTCTGTCTTGCAGACTCTTGATCTGACATCACCCATCCAGGGAGAAGCACTCGAGGCCTGGGCAGATCATCTTCATTTCCTGGCCCTTCAAACGCTACGCTTGTTGCTTGGTACGCAAATGGGCCGAACGGGACAAGCACCGGACTTCTACCTGAAAGCAACAAGATTTCTTCAGAGTCTTCCGGCGCTATCAGACGTATACCTAGACGAATGGCACTCACAGCTGCCGATTGGGACGTTGACACAAAGCCACGGACCACGTTTGCGCAAGCTGTCGGTGGCTGGTCTGCCCTGGCAATGTTTCACCGAGAACGATATCCTCCAACTCGGCAGACATTGTCCTCTACTGGAGAAGATGAGCATCCCCATCCGTCGTACCCAAGGAGACGCCCGGGAAGTGGCTCTCTACAAAGCCTTGGGCACAGTCAGAAACCTGAAGTTCCTCGATCTGGTATTAGATGTATCTGATCCGACCTTGGACCAAGAGCACGCCTCCATCGATCCGGATTGGGACGACTTTGACAATCAACCCGCCAACGTAAATCTAGGAGGCATTAACCCGAGCCGCAACGGCCACATCCGGAGGCTTCTGATCAATACCCTCATTGACAAACAACTTGCGTGCTCGATCCTCGAGGTTATTTCGGCCGCAAAGCCCCAAGATGCGCCACTCCTTGAACGGCTGTCCCTATCAATACAAGGTCAGACTCGTCCGGCCTACTTTGCGCGATGCGAGTTCTCCCATCTTGTGAGGCTCTTGTCCACGGAGTGGACCATTGAGCGCGATATCCGCCACGAGCACCGGAACAAAGTCGACGCGCGAATCACTATGATTCCTATTTGTTACTATTCTGTGCATCCGTGGGTTGCTGAAGTGTCTTCCCGAATCTGGCCTAGCACGCAGCTTCAAGATGGAGAATCAAGTGAAATTAGGTATTGTGACGTTTGGCGAAGTTTTCCTCTGGCTGTAGATGAAGACGCAACGGGGTCAAAGGCTGAGGCAAGTGTATAGATGCTCCTTTCCTGGAGCCTATATGGAACAGGAGATTCGACAATCGAAGGGAATCAAGACTTAGTCTATGATTTGGCTCCAAATGATTAGCAGTCTCGTCTTTGGCAGGAGGCATATGATATACGTGACAAGGCTGCCAGGACGAGATGTAGATTATGACTTCTCTCGCAATCGGTAAACCAGAACATCATTCTCCATAACATATGCCAATCCCACATAGCTACAGTGCAACCCTCTTCCGCATCACACATCTCCTGGCCCTATCATGGCCACACCGCGCCTGCTCCTCCAACTCCCGTCCATGTCTCTCACCAGCCGTGTCCACATCCACCTCCTCAAACCCCATCCTCGCATAGAACCGTCCATTAAACCCCAAATCCCGATACGTCGTGAGCGAGACATACTCATATCCCCTGTCTCTCGCCCGCCTTTCCACCTCCTCCAGCATCGTCCGCGCAATCCCCCTCCTCTGCCAGTCCTCATGCACATCCATCTCGGCGACGTACAACATCCCGTCGAGGTCTCGCACGGCGATAAACCCTACCGCCGTGTTCTCCGAGGTAACTGCAACCCATACGTTCTGCTGCGCGATCATTGAGCGGAGGGTTGCCGGATCAAGGGGCGGGGAGTCGGCGATCCAGGCGAGATGGACGGTGCGGAAGAGCTGGGCGGCGGAGGTTTCGATGGTGTTCATCCTTGGGATGTCCTCTTCAAGGGCGAGGCGGATTGAAATTTCGCACTTTTGGAGGGGAGTCGTTGTCATTGTGATTCGTAGCGTTCTTGCTTGAGTGAGATACTGCACTGTTGTGAGAGTGATGTTGTTGCAGGTTTACACTGTAGGTAGTGATTTGTTTAGTATTGTCGGCAGGATGGCAAGAAATAGGGATTCTTATATAGCTTCAAAGTACCCACTGTTGGCTGATCCCGGTTAGCCAAGGCAATCTACGACAATAATCGCCAATCAAATACGAGCATACGCCAGTTCTAGATCGTTTGAGTCATACCCGACTTCTAGATTCTTAGACCATGAATTGCGGTGCCCAAATCTAGCCCTGGGATCATTATAAGAGAACAGTAGGCCTTGGTAGTCGAATTCGGGATAGAAAAGAATCCACCGTCGATGGGACGAGTGAGTGTGCTAAACATTCGTTTGATAAAAGCGATTTCATGTCATTTCTAGTCTCGGGCAAAAATTAGGATATCAATATAGCTATCGAGACGAGCTAAGCAATAGATTGGTCTCGGTTTGCGAGGTGATTTACCCATAAATATTAAACACCATTCAAGCCCACGAGAGCCGCTGAATATCCTCCGGAATCTGCCACCCATGCGCCAGGCATGCCCTCTTGTACGCTTCAACCGCCTCGCCAACGGAATAGTCCTTATGAGACCGTTTCAGCGCCAGACGCGCAGGACGAGGCTCGGTATTAGTGATTGCCATTCGGACCTGCAGCAACACGCTCTCGATAGATGCCGTCGGGAGCCAGCCTGAATTGGTCAGAAGTTCCATACACATGGCCCCGCCCGCGGTGACGTGCCCACCACCGCCATTGACAAACTCCAGGAACCGGGGACGAATCACGCGGACAAATGGAGGAGCCATAGGGAAGCCGGGAGGGAAGCGCAGTTCAAGCACAACGCTTTTCATGTTAGCCTGCTTGAGGTCTTTTGCGAGCGGTAGATTGGGGTCGAAGCTGTGCAGCTCGACGATCCACTGGTATACTGTGGTTATAAAATCAGGGTCGATGTACCAGCCCAGGTCGTGAAGATGCTCCCGAGCTTGAACTTTGAGGGTGGCTCGAAGATGTTGCTGTAAGATTTTGGTTGCTGGTGTTGTTGCGTATTGGGGAGGTCTGAGCAGGGGAAGGGATTCCTTTTTGAGAGTTCCGGGTTCAAAGTCACTTTTCACACTGTTCTTGGACGACTGGACTGGCGGGGCCTCCTCTACCTCGCCCTCGTCATCTGAGAGAAGAACCAGAAGATCGTCGAATGCCGTGGCCACGCTAACAACGTCATCTTCCTGCAAGACTATCTTTGTCGAGTCGTCAGGGGTAGGCATCGTGTCTGCCTCTCGCTTTCGCTTCTTTCCTCCAGGAGGAGAGGGCGATTTGCTAATGGCAGGGTCGGTTTGGTGAAGAAGCCCCAAGCTATACCTTCGCTGGCTGTTGAGGGCAGAGATCGGAATGGCGATCGGGCCTCCACTCGGCCCCCTGGCTGAATATTTCGGATCTTGTATGTACATGGCTGATGGATTTGGATTTGCTGCACCGGGGGCACTGGGCCCTGCACCTTGGACGTGACATTTGACGAAGAGATATCTCGGCTGAATCCAGTCCAGCTGAGTGACTACGTAATGCGGATTGGTGTGTTTGAACTTAGCTGGCGCGTTGACCAGTTCATTGAGTGAGACCAGCATCGTTATCTTCAAATTGCTTTGAGGCCAGGAGTAGTCGAGTCCGCTCCGCGTGTAACCCACGGATGTGTTGAAGTTATTAGACAGGTACACCCCATCCCCATAGGAGCGTCCGTTTGCGACCTCTTTGAAGTGGAGGCCTTCTCTTAGAATACTGTGCCAGTTGTACACTGGACTGCCGTGCCAGGCAAAGATGGTCGGGTAATCTGTCTTGGTAGTCGCGGTATTCGCGGCGACGGCGGCTCTGAAGCGCTGCTCTTTGTCTGGCGCCCCCTGGACAAGCCGAAACTGCTTGTATGACCCCATGCCAGTCACTCGATGATCGGAATGCGTGGTATCGTCCTCCATGATAAAGGAGCGGTTTGACGCAACGACCCAACGCAGCACGTCGAGTGCTGCCGGGGAAATGACATCCTTCCAGGCAGCCAGCTTTTTGTTATCGGAGTTCCCAAGGAAGGCTTTCATCTTATCAACATCGGGAAGGGTATCGAGAAGCAGTCTGACCGCTGCTCTTTTATCATCAACGTCAAGGTCATCGAAATTCCTGTCGTAGATCATGAATTTGACGGCATGTGACGGACCTTGCAGAAGTTCGGATGCGGAGAGCTGCTGCCCCTTCACAATCGGAGAGGAGAGCTGTACCTCACTAGTACCGGCATCAATGGCCTGCACTCGACAATGCCAGGGTCCTTCTTTCAGGGGCGTTCCAGTCTGAAAAATGACCACCCAGTCTCCGTGTTTGAAGGGCGGGTGCTTATCCGGGCGGCAAGTCATTGTTTGAGGGACCAGGCTGCCACTGTAGCAGGTTTGAACCTGCGAGGAATTTTTCTTCTTTGTATCTGTCGGTTGACGTTCGATCTCTTCAAGCCTATTCATGTTTAGAAACCATGGGACTTTGAGACCTAGGCCTGTGGGAAAGTCCGTGAGACGTCCGAATACTGCCCGAGCATATGTCAAACTGATGAGCAAATCAACAACACTCGGTTGGAATCGAATCTCATGTTCCAGGCTTGGGCCCATGCCGAGCGCCATGTACTGGAACAAACACAACCCGTTGGAGCAAACGTACGGTTTGAGTGCTTCAACACTATCGCGGATTTTGCAATGACAGACCAGGCAGAATTCCGTGCACTTGACAAAGTGACGAAGAGTAAACTGCATGCATATCAACGGCAGGGACAATTTATCGGGCTCATGACCTTGACCTATATGATCGCCTTGGAGTAGCGCCGGCGTGGAGCTACCCCAGGTGTCTGGCTCGAAATAGTCGTCGGGTAGAGCGGCATTTTCGGGCTTCCTGCCTTGATTTTGTTGAATGTAAAGCTCAGCTCCGGTCCATGACAGGCGGAGATGATATCGCAGTTCCATAATACGGAGAAATCTCTCGTTCAGGAGTGAGTCCAGCGGTTGCCCAATGAAAAGTGGTTTCAATCGGTGAGCGGTCCCTCCTAGGCCTTCTTTGGGCAGTGGAAGATCTCCTTGAAAGGCTCGTGTGGCGTCTTCAAGAGTTGGCTTGTAAGAATCACATAATCCGACGTGGAACTGGATCGCAGAGTACTTTGTGTTCCCGAGCGCCAGCAGTTTCTGAAAATGCACATACGTCGCTGGATAACGAATGAGCAGAACCAAGTATTCCGAAGCACGGACATCCCATGCTTGCATGGCCTCCTCGGAGATACCTAGTCTACCGATGCGACAGGAGACTGACACGATTATAGAGCCTGTCAGTGATCCCAGATAGCCCACTTTCAGACCAGCATTTTTCACAGCGCGAAGGTCGCGGCGCAGGGTCTTCAGTAGATCTTTGTGGTCCGTCTCAGAAATGACAAATTCCGGTTCACTGTCCAATTCCCAGTCGTTGTTGTTGTCGTCGTCGTCATCAAACCCAGTCTCGTCCTCAGCCCCACAAACAACCTCATCATCATCATCATCATCTGCTTCGATATCAGGTTGTCGCAGCGCATCTTGGACGAGCTCGTCGATGTAATTGAGGAAATCCTCAAGTGAAACCCCTGAGAACCTGGATTGAGCATTTTCTAGAACTATAGCGACCCTTGAAGGAGGATCTTCGGATGTGGTGAAGACAAAGTACGCGTGACTTTCGGGGTAGTCTTGTGTATCTGTCGAGATGTCAGTTGGTTTCGGTCACGTCCATCCGAGAAGGCCTTCGAAGGAGCCTCACCTGATACTATGGCTTGAAAATCAATACTGGTGCCTGTGGAGGCATCGGTAAACGTAAATGTGATGGAGCCATCATGATCTCCTGCTCTGACACCGCTCAGATGAGGGAACCTGCTTGGTGTCTTTGCACCAATCAGGTCTTTCTGAAAGTCTTTGCGAGGCATGGTGTCTCCTGGCAGAAGGAAAGCCTGCAATTCGCAATATATGAGCTTCGGTATGTCGAGATATGCCGCTGATTTGATCAAGATGATGGAAAATCGTGGTTGACGTTGGATGTTGTAGAAATATTTGCCCGTGTGTTGTAGTGAGAGAAAGGTCAGTGACAGTCAAAGAACCATAGGCGACGCTGGGAGAGTTGTTTGTCCAGGCTGCAGCGGTCATGGATACCTAGTTTTCTCTCAGCGCACAACCATGGTTTCGCCATGTCTATCACCAAGTGTCTTACTTCTGCGCAGTGAAAGACTCTGGTAGCATCTTAGGAATTGCGTCATTCTTTTTAGCTCTATATCTCTGTTTTCTGGATTAGGTCGGGGTGCCTCTGTCGGCTCAACCACTCATCGCTCATCTTCATTTCACTCTCAATAGACTTCCTTCTCCTAGGAACTATTCGCCCTTCATCTCTTAGCATTATGGACTTTGTTTCAAGATGGGATACAAAGAAAGTGGCTCAATAGCGCCAGCTCAAAACAAACGATCCTAATCTGATGTAGTGTCTGCCTTAGGCATGAGCTGCCCCTCCGTCAGCTATTCTGATTGGCCAGCCCCTGGCCAGAGGTGCTCCTGTCACATGACCTGTCACATGGGATCTGCTCAAAGAGGAAAGTAGGGCACGGGATCAGGGCTGTTTGTAAAGTGATCGCAGTGTGCAAAGGTGGCATTCATGCAACACAGTCTCAGCTCTTTCTGTGGAGGAAAAGTTCAGGCTCTACTACTCGATCGAAAATTTGAAGTTCCAATTGGTTGACCTCTTTGGTTAGCTGTGCGTTGTCCATATATATATTGTTAATGTAAGCATGAAAGAAGCTTCCAGCCATCAAAACATGGGATTCCCCCCTGAGGTAGCTTCAACCGCCTAGCTATGGGTGACTCATGTGCTAATGCTCCAAGTCATCACCACAGGTCCAATCAAGCCATACTTCTGATACGGTGTACTAGCATACAGCGGCTGTACCTCTCCCGCTATTGACCCTGCGATCATAGTTTGATTTGCCTCTGCCTTGATCCGATTGAATAGTGGAGTTGTCACCTCCACCACAATTTTATGCGTCTGACCCGGACTCACGTATGGAGATATGTCAACGACTGGATTGACTGGATCAATGGGAGGAAGTTTTCGTCCATCGATATAAACGCGAGCAGTGTGAATAATCGGCCCTAGTGATAGCTTGCCCTGTATGCGAGGGACATTCGGTACAGTGAGGCTCGTTCGAGTATCGACCGATGCCACCCACATTGGTCAAAGCAGGAGAGATAGCGCTCCATGGTCTCAGGGTGATGTTGGAGAAGTTGTGCAACGTGACGGCTGTTTGAACCAGAGAACGGTCGCTTGGAGCGTGAAAGTCTTCAATCGACAGGTCCCAACGTGTCAGGTTAGCTATGCTGTATCGACTTGACGTACTGCTGCTTGCGACAATGCTCGAATTTCCTGCATCACTATTGCCACTATTCTCAAGACTTAGAATGGTTGTCTCATTTGGCGCGAACTGCAGGGAGACCGCAATCGCCGCGGACCTTCTCTTGAATGAGTCGACCATTTTCCTCTCCCCCGTCCAAGCATTGAGAAGGTGCGGCGTTCTCGCTCCATTGTTTTGGATGTTGACTTTGCATGTGGTAGAGACGTTCTGATCGTTATACAGAAAGACATAATCCGCCTTGCCCCTGGGGTCGGACCGTTTCACCACACGCAATGTACCGGTAGTACAGTCCGGCGAAACATCGGCTGTGATTCCTGCCTTAGTCAGGGCACCGGTGAGATCTGCAAGTGACGAGACAAACTGCACGGATGGCAAGTTGCGTATCTTATGCCATCCGTCTTCGACGATTTGACCAGCCTGAGCATTTGATGTCACTTGGGGTAGGCTACCAACAAGAACCACGGGGAGTCCTTTTTGAGCAAACTCTACCACTCGTGCCGCCACATCTTTCCGAACGAGGTTGAAGGTAGATGTGTTGAAGGTGGACGAGGCGAAAACCAGAGCCTTATATCTGGGCCCATCCGGAGCAAGGACCTTTGCTTGAACAGTGACCTGCGGGTCAACGAGGTTATCCGGAGCAACGTAGTCGTGAGTGTAGCCAGAGTCGACGCCAGAGGCAGATACTGTTACGGCTGCAAGAAGCGCATACAACGCTATCGCGCCGCTTTGTGTGACATATAAGGTTCTCATGTTTGTTTGGTCACAGTTCTTGCGGACTGCGCTTCAGAAAACACAAGATCCGGGGCTCCGCCTTCTTATGGTTAAAGAACTCCAGGTTATTCATGATCGCAAGAGGCAGGTAACCCCTTGAGAGGATTCGCCATATTTCGGCATTAATTATCACGAAGTGCGAGCAGTTTCTGGGATCGTCAGTCGGACTTCCTGGATAAAAGTGCGGGGATTTTCGGGGTAGTCCGGGGTAAGTTGGTTCTCGTTCGGGAGGTCTTACACCCTCAAGTCTAACTGAGCTGCCAGGACTGGAGGCAGGAGGCTTTGTGCTTTTCTTACTGGTACCTGAAGATTGCATCTCCGCAGAAAGGTCTACTGTTATAATGCAAAGAGCTTGGTGAGTTGTTATGAAGAAACAGCGGGTCATGTCTAAAGTGTAAAACTAGGTAACTGGTATATTGAAGACACAAATCACACAGAAACGAAGAGAATGGATCAGACATTAACAACCTGCGCCTGAGTCCGTTCCACATGTTCGACCTCCACGACCTTGGCCACCTCAACGTCCGACTGTGGTTGGCTCTTGGGGTAAAAGTCGATCTTACCTCCGTCCTTGATCACCCCCGTTCGGTCCAGATAGTTCCGACTGCGCATGTATGGGTCTAGCTGCCAGTAATTCAACCGCAACTGCTCAATCAACTCGTCCCGATGAGCCTTGGCAGCTGCCGTCTCCTCTTCGTCCTTGTTCCTGATTGCTGTGACCCACTTGGAGGTGGCGCTGAGTAGCTCGACGCCAATGCTGGCACGTTGGGCCAGCAGAGCATCACGCGCGGTCGTGTCTTCCATGCGGTCGTTCTCGTTCTCGTCGGGCTCCACGTACTCGTATGTCCAGTCCTCGGCCCCGCCGAGTTCCTTGACGATCCGGTCGCGGGGAATGAACTTTTCCATGTCGGCAATGCTCTTGGTGAATTGGATCTTGGAGACAATCACGGGGTCCATCCAGCCTTTGATGAGACGCCAGATACCTATTCTCGTCAGTGGATACTCTTCATGCGATTGGAAACGGACGTACCTGAGAACACCCATGGTGCGTTGTGAATGAGCAGCACACCCAGTGACTCGGGGTAGTTTGCTTCAAAGCATTTGATGATGAATTTGACGGGTGGATATTCCATGTTCGAGAGACCAAACCCAGTCATATCGAAGACAACCGCCTGCGCTGTCAGTTAGTTCTATGACGCCAAAGTCGAAAGTGATGGCTTACAGCAGTCTCCACCAGCGGCACCAGCAACAACCGCACGGACTCAATAACGTGGATAATAAATTGATTCAATGTCTCTTCGCTCTGCGCACCGGGCTTATGCAACTTGACCCGAATCACAACGATGGGCCTGCCCAGCTTATCGACACCGTGCACATACGCCTTTCCCATGCGCATCTGCGCCAGAAAGTCTGTTCCATTCTTTGCGGCAACAGTGTTGGAGGTATCTCTCGACGCCTTGAGCGCATGCAGCTCGCCCTTGGCGATGACTTCCTCGTCGACGTTGAACTCCTTCATGCGCCACAGGATGGCATCCAGCATCATGACAAAGGCCTTGTTGACGTCCCACTTGCGCGCGCGCAGGAAGCGCAGGAACAGCGCATCTGGGTGATCGTGCTTTGCGGTGCTCAGGAGTCCATCTCGGATTTCCTCGGGTGTAATCTCGGTGAGGATATGTTGAACTTGTTTGATTTCAGGGGTGTGCAGCCCGAGCCCCTGGAGGTGCTGAGAGACTTGAGCAGCGTAGGCGGGGGTGGTGGCTGTGCTGCCCTTTGAGGCGGTCGTGTTGGTCCGAGCGAGGGAGTTGCGTCGGTGCTGAGGCTCATTTGTGTCTGTTGTGGTGGATGTCAGAGCATCGGACAGACTCAGGACGATAGTCCATAGATGCTCGAGTTTCTTCTGTTGGTCTGCGGTGAGATTGCCGAGGAATCCTTCGGGGATGTTCGAGTGCGCCATTGTCTCGGTTGTCAGTCGAAGAATGTGAACACATCGTCTGGCCGGTCAAGCTGGGCTGAGTGGGCTGAGCCTATATATAAATCCAGACCAGCCTTATTGTGCTCAGGGCATATGAAAGTCCCCCGCAGGGATCGGCATACCTCGGTCCGCCATGTCCATCATTGTGGGAGAAACGATAAGCGCTGACCAGTGATCTAGATCCAGACTTGGTAACCAGGACGTTTGAGGGGCCCCTTGATCCCTCCCCGCGATTGTGGATCGAGATGGTCATGGCTTATCAAGTCCATCTCAACTCAAATTCCCCAGTTTACCAGTCCCCACCGCATGGACTGAACCTAGGCTCGATACAATGTACTAATATCTTCAGAGTCTACTACATGTGCTAGCGAAGATCTTGATATGACGCGTGCATGCTTCCAAACATCCTGTGATCATCCGGGCATCCCTTGACTCCAAGAATATGCATGATATCTACGCTCCATGCACAAGCCAATCCGCGGAACCTGTTGCTTACAACAGACTGTCCTCGAAAATGAGATTCAATTGCACTGAGATTTAGATAAATGGCCTCTCAATAGCGTTTCTGATTCTACCCCGGAGTAGAACCTTAAAACCTGAACCAGTCAATTTCCCCCGCATTCATGGTGATTCCACAAACCGTCGATCCGCCAACATCAACCAAATGGTTTGTGGGTTAGATATGGAGCGACCAATTACGCTTTGATATTCAACAACTAGACCCATCGGCACTTACCACAAATTGGACAAATCCACAAAGATCCACGCTACGGAGTACTTGTTAATACTAACTTAGGCTGACGGCTGGAAAGCGGACATAGCTAGACTCCTTTCGGAATGCACTGCGAAGTTCGCCAGAGCCACTGATTGGTGCTTATACGACCTGTTTCAGGTTCATCATTTTTCTGAGCCTTGAAAGGCGTCCAGGAATGGAATGATACTTGTTAGGGAAAGGAGTGCGATGGATTTCAGGTTTGGTTAAGGTGGATGTATTTGCCACTACGGTTCCTGGGCATGTTCAGTTTCAGGAGATGCATCTTGCATGCTCAACTACCGTTTAGTTACTCTATTGTCTTGCGGTTCTTGTCTGCTCCTGACTCGCAAGATCAAGTGGGCTCGTCCTGGCCTGTGATGGAATATTTCTATCAACTCCTCGGTTGCATTTGCTTTGGGCTCAATGTGTGGAAGTCGTTGTCAGATCCGGTTTACCCAACGGGCATCTTCAGATTCAAGAACGGGTTTCTTGAATAAATGTATTATCAAGTCTCTGGGCACTGAAGCCATAGGTCCAAGGATCTACGTCCCCATTCATCAGATCCGGGGAAGAAAGGCCAAATCGGATGCAAAGGATCTGATATTATAGGATCTCAGTATGTTCAATGTACTGACAACTCTAAGGCTACTGTTCGTCCGAAGTTGCTTAGCAAGAAGCCCCTGAGGGAACATTCTCGCACTCGGAGCTGGTCTCGCCGCCAGTGATGTCCACGCCCTCCCAGGTCCAGTCACTGCAGCTGCCGTCACCACAGAGAATGTACACCTCGACAGCGTCGGACTCCACGGTACCAGTGACCCTGTCAATGGTCAGGTCGGTGATCGGAACACCAGTTGTAGGGGTACCGGTAGGGCTGCCGTTCTCGTAGTCCTGCTCGATGACGATACCATAGTCGGTAATACCGGACAGCTTGATGTTGGAGTAGGTGACCTCGCTGACGGAGCCGGTGGCATCGTATACGGTCTTGATGCGGACACCGTTGGCCGAGTCGGTCACGGTGGAGTCGGTGATGGTGACGTTCTTGACGGTGTTGTCGTCGCGGCCGCCGACGGAGCCGATGGAGAGACCGTGGCCGCCGGAGCAGGTGCCGCCGGAGAATTCGATGTTCTAAGAGGCAGTTAGTCAACGCCAACGTCAGCCAGCGAGACACGCGGGAAACGTACCTCGCCCGAGTTGATTGCAATGCAGTCATCCTGGTTCTTGACGGTCGCGCCGCGGATGTAGACGCCGGTACTCTCGCTGATGTCGAACCCGTCGGTGTTGTGGCCGCCGTTGTCATCACCGTCCGAGTTGTCGATGGTGATGTCGATCAGGTAGAGGTTTGTCGCCTGGACACTGATGGCCTGCACGGGGGTGTTCTTGATGGACAGGCCGGTGATGGTGGAGTCCTCGAGGCTGTGGGCGTACATGAACTTGGGCTTTGTCTTGCCGCCGTTGGTGCCCTCGCCATCCCACCAACGGGAGCCATCGGCGTTGATCACGGCGCCGGAGTTCTGCTTGACGGTGATGTCCTTGCCACCGAAGCGGATCAGGGGGCCGCTCCACTCTTCGTAGCCGAAGGTGGTGGTGCCTTCGAAAACGATCTTCGGGGATTAGCATAGTGGCTGAGCAGGGAGATGAGCAATGGCAGCGACGTACGGTAGTGCCGTCATCGACATCAGACAGATCCAGTGTCTCGCCGGCAGGAACCTCGATGTTGTCGAGGACAATCTCGGAGCAACCAGAGGCGCTCTTGGTGGCCTGGGAGGCCGCAGTGAAGGTACAAGTCGAAGACCTCTTGGTCAGATCCGACACGCGAGAGGGAGCAGGGGCAGCAGCGACGAGGGAGCCCAGCGCAGCCAGGCCAAGGAGCTCAACGGAACGCATGATGAATAAACGAAGGAAAAGTTCTGATCAACAGAACAGTTTTGGTCGGTAAGGAATGAATCTGGTCAACAGGTAGGAAAGAAAAGGGAGGCTTGGAGGTTGCAGCTTGCAAAGTCAATCCATCGTTCCACGGCACCACTCCCTTTTATACGCATCGACCTTCAGCACTGATCAGTGAAACTAAGCTTCACCCCCAACTTGGCTCCAACTTGGCTCCGGCCAAGCCGGTACATGAATGTCTGCAAGATGAAGAGTCATTGGCGGGAATTGCAGTGTTCATCAACCTCGAACGGCTATCGGAGGTTAGCCGGCCAGGAGGATGCTTGGTCTGGGGTCGTCGTCATCAAGGAGCTGCGGCGTCCTGCGGGAATCAAATGCTCCACTGCGAGTCATGATTAGTGTGGTGGATGGGCCATAGGGTGGTTCGAGAGAGGGTTCGGTGTCGCACTATTTCTGTTGGGAATTTTTGTTTCATATCTTCTTGCAGCACAGAATTTAATCATTGCAGTGATGCTCTGGGATCCGTGTCGTTGTTGTCGGCCTGTGATAATTTGCGGTACATACAAACGCCTCAGCAATTCAGCAGGGAGCTTGCAGTAACGGCATCTTCTCAAGGACCCAGTAGACTGTTCCAAATCCATTCTGCGGTCTAGACCATCGGTGAAAGGACTAAGTACTGCCTCCCATTCTCTTCCTGAACGGTGGAACCAATGTCCGTTCACGGGATGTGGTGATGATCGGCAGTCATAAGCATTCGTCAGATGTATAGCACGCACCCACCCGCAATATAGATAGATTAATTGCCTCGCAATGCCCTAGGGAGCAGACTATTCTTGAGTCAGTCGGAAATTCCGAGTCGGCTATTTCGGTACCGTTCAGGGTTGAATTCATGGATAGGTATTGACCTAAACATACGGAGTAAAATCACCAGGTACCAATAACATGAGGGAACTTGTGCAGGAGGTAAAGTAAGTATGAAAGAACGGCTAGACTCGCGCCATGATGGAATCAAGCATGTTGAAGTTTCATGTTGCTGGATGACGCGGCCATGTATAATCTCCCAGGAAGAGTAATAGGGGCTGGAATGATGTCTTGCAATGTCCAAAATACCGATAGACTCCCACCATACTCCGTAGAGCGTGCAACCATAATATCGCCGTTAAAGCAATGATCTGAACATTATTATTCATGGTTTAGAAGATACACAACTTGCTGCTAAACCCAATGTCGGTAAATCTGCAGCTGTAGCTGTCGAAACTCGCAAGGATCAGCTCACTCAACATGTATCTCGGAGCTTACCTGTGTCTCGCTGTATAATTGCATAGAATACTCCTACATTGAGAGTGACCGAAACACATGCACCATGGCCAATCTCGGTCATCGCGTGGAGACCTCCGACATTATACGTGCGCGCATCCTCACAAGCAACGACATCTCAATAGCTTCTATGAGGAACTTACCCTGTCTTGCCGTCTAGGACTCGCATTCGGTCTCTGACTTGGAGCATCCGGTCCCCTGCCTACCCTAGGGCTGTCCGGCTGAGTAGCTGAACTGGCTCCCTGAATCACGGCTCAACTGTGGCTAGCAAGAGGATATAGTGGAGATTCAATTGCTTTCGATATACAAGGGTTCTCACCTAGAATACAAGTAATCGTCTAGCGTTGAATGGAGCGGTCAAACAGAAAACAAGCCAGGCTAAGCCTTCGCATACGGAGACATCTCCCTCAGCTTCGACCAAGATACCAAAAGATAAACGGTGACGGCATCCCCACTGCATTACTGATAAAAGACGGTGATCTCAGGTGAGACCAGTAGAAAGCTCTTCTCCAGTGCTGCTCGCAGGCTCGCCGGCATGTCGCTACAATCCAGGTATCGTTCTCCCTGCAACAACCACCTTTCTACGGACGGTCGATGTAGGATCTCAGTGATGGGATCTAGTTGTTCGGTGTACCATCGGCCAGCTGTCTTCCCGTCTCCTTGTCTTCAGAGACCGCATCCTGCCGGGTTCCAGGTCGGTTGGTCCACAGAGATCAAGCACTCTTAGCCCGCCGTCACTGGCATCCCTTCGCGTCGAGTTTGACGGTGGTGCGCTCTGCTCTTCAGTCCTATTTGAAGTCGCTCCAATGACGTTCCGAAGCTGTCGAATCTTTGACTCTCAATCACTTGTAAGATGTTGATCACGAATTTTCAGCATTTAGTATACACTAAAGCTTGGCACTAAAATCTCTCATTGTGCGCTTCAATAGGTGACGTGCTCAGCATAAAACGAAGTCATTCTTGATGAACGAAGCCGGGTATTCGAGGCTCGGATCTGATACGGGGAAATGCTGCAATTTGTTGAATCCAGAGCTTTAACACGTGTCTCCTTGTTATTTGGCCAATGCGAGACTAGGATTGCGGTTCCTTGACCAAGTGCTGCAGGGATATATCAAGTAGCTTTCTTTGTAGATTCTGACTGAAAGGGCGCCTTTCAGCTATTAATAGAATCATGAATCAAGGTGACAAAGAAATTGATTGTCCTTTCTCATAAGATATCAAAGTCCAACTCAGTCAGCACAGCCAATGTCCAAGCCAAAGAAACTGTTCCTTCGAAGAGAGGTTGATGCTGTGGACTATTGAGACCTGAGGCATTCACTTCATTGGCTGGCCAAGGGGACAGTCACCTGACAGGTTACTAAAATGGGAATCCCATAAAAAGATCACGTGACCTGCAGCTGGTGGTTGACGGCTGAGACAAAGAAATGCACATTCACCACTTTGTCTATCAGGCTGAACAGGAATTCGCCCTCAGCCATCAAAAGAATATAAGAGTTGTGTCCATCTAGTCCTTAGATACTGGCTTTAGATACAACAGAATAGCCATGGGTAGTCTTCTTGACATGGCGTCGGTGGACGATCTTAGCAATCGGTTTAATCATTTTCTTAAGCAGGACGCGGAAAGGGCCCAGCTTATCGAGGTGAGGCCGCCTTCATCGCACTCTTGCGCTCTCCAGCTATCTCACTCTTGGAACTTGCTGATTCTGACCAGGTCGTGTTAAGAAAAATCAATGAAGATAAAGGACGACTGGATGCGCTTACCATTGAGCTGGAGCATGAGCGAGAGTCCCGCCATAGGTACCAGCTAGAGGTCCGCGATTTGCGAGAACAAAGGCAAAGATGGGAACAACTCTATGTAAGGTTGAACTCGTACGCAGTGTCAATTGCTGCTTCCCAGCTAATCTTCTGCCTATAGAACAAAGACCCATATGTGGCAGTCCTGGTTGATGGTGACGGTGCCATCTTCAATAACGAGTTGTTGCAGGACCCTCGTCAAGGGGCCCCTGAAGCTGCCCTGCGGCTCACCCAGGCAGTGAGAAACTACCTTAAGGATACACCTCTTGGTTCTGAGGATATTCCCATTGTGGTGCGGGTCTTTGCAAATCTGAACGGGCTGGCCAAGTCGCTTTTCCACCACAATGCCATCGACTATGAGGATAAGATGAGGGTATTTGCGGAGCAGTTTACTAATAGTCGTGCCGAGTTCGATTTTGTCAATGTCGGTCACGGCAAGGAGAACGCTGACTCTAAAATGAGAAGTAAGTTTGTCAGAGGTCCTGGTTGAGAGGGTAACTCACTAACTTGATTACAACACAGAGATGTTCGGTCATTTCTATAGAAACTTCCAGTGCAAGAAAATCTTCTTCGCTGGTTGCCATGATAACGGCTATCTTCATGAGCTCCGTGAATACGCAGGCGAGTCGGCCAAACAGCGCATCGTTCTCCTGGAGACCACTCCTGCGCAGCCGGCCTTCACTCAGATGGGGTTCGAGATGACCCGGTTTGACACTGTCTTCCGCACTGATTTTCTCGGGCCCCAGCCGGTTCCCCCTGCGTCTTTGACTGCTCTCAGAACACAACCGGTGACTGCGCCGCCTGCCAACCACGGGGTTATTGCCCAGCCACCGATCGCGCCCCCCTCTACTACTAGCAATCAAAGTCCTGTCGTGCGACCAGCCACGACGAGCACCGTCCGCACCAACTCTCCAGCTCTAGCACCGCCAGAGCGTCAAGCGTCCCCAGCAGTTGGAACCGTGGTCAGCTCCGGCAACGGTGGTGTCTCGATTAAGTATCCCACATACGCCACAGCCGGCGGTGCGAACGGTCACCATAATGTCGTCATCGCAGGCAGTGCCAAAACTAAAGAGCCGCGTGTCATATATTACAACAGCAACGGGCAGCGCATCGATCCTCCCAACAACCGGCCCGCGAACCCCAGCGATCACCGAACCTACGGCGAAAAGACCTTGAAGATCAAACCAAAAGCCTTCTGTAACGAGCTCTTCCTGGCTGATGGCTGTACCAAGGGACCGAATTGTCCGCAGGAGCACGAAGTCCAATTGACACCTGGAGAGCGCGCGGTCCACAGGTGGAAAGCCCGGGGCAGTCTGTGTACTAACGGTCCTTACTGTGAAAACTACCGCTGCTATCTGAGTCACCACTGTCCATTTGGAGACGGCTGCACGCGCGGCCCGACCTGCAAATTCAAGACTTCGCGCTGGGGAGATTTGCACCATGCGAAGATTGATTTAGAACCGGAGTATGTCCATCGTCACGTATGTTGATTAAGCTACTGACATATTGATAGTACCAAATGGGTTGAAGGCAACGACTTTCCCATGAGGGTCGGATAGGTATAGGACAACATAATTGGAGGATGCGATATCCTACCAGGAGTTCATATCTCCTTTTCTCATGCTTCTTGGCTCACAGCCTGGAGCATCAGTTCCTTCTGTCTTTCAAACACGCTCACATTTCTCCACTGATCAGCAAGGCTTAAGCTTTCATATTTTGAGTCATCTTTACCTTGGTCTACTTTTATGACATTCACTTCAATCATCATCTAACTATTATTTCAATAGTGCTATCTGATCACGGCCATGGTTATTCGTTGGACCTAAATACAAGTGTTTTCTTCCGTAGCTACGATGCCTGGCCAGATTTTCTCGTAACCTTAGGCAGCGAAACAACCAAAGCCATGGACAGACGGGATATATTGAAGTGAGCCTTCTAGGTCCGCTCTTCCAATGATCTCTACCCAGACTGCTGTTCCGAATGATAGATCGCTGTCTAGATCCGAACCAGTAAGATTCAATGAGTGGACGACAGCCTATCCAAACTGGTATTACCTCACCACAGACACAGGATGAGCACAGACATCTGCCTCTCCAGCATCGCGACATGTAAGTAAAACCGCAATATAGCAACTACACGAGTCTAGAACTAATACGACCACCGGAAATCAGGACTGTCCGGCCCATCATGTAACCTCTCCGTCGAGACGTCCTGCGCCCGAACCTTTCTCCCCTGGATACGGTCCCTCCGCGCATTATCCATCATCATCCACCCACCCAGCAACAGCGTCAACACAATCCCCGCGCCCCCAAACGACGCCGTCGTGATAAGCGCAGGCATATACCGCGGGGCGTCCTGATTGCGGAAGATATTCGAGCTGACGACGCCCATGAGATTAGCCACGGGGACAGCGATACTCGTCAGGACGACGCGGCGGCCCTCGTTCGCGATGTTGTTGTTGTACCAGACGTCCAGGAGGACGGAAGGCGCGGAGGTACCCCTACGCCATTAGCTTCATCAGTATAAGATGCAAAAGACATACCAAGTCATCATAAACGAGGCAAAGTACGCGACGTTGATGTCCCGCTCGACGCCAATCGCCGCGTAGATGACGAACCCGACGAAGGTGAAGAGGAAGCCCAGCGCCACGAATGGGAAGCGCCAGCGGGTCCAGTCGCTGCAGAAGGCGAGGATGAGCAGCATCACTGCGCCGGAGACGTTCGGCGCGACGGTGTACAGGTTCGTCTTGACGGTGTCGTATCCGAGTCGTTTGATGATAGCCGGGAGAAAGAGCTGTACTGACTGCAGCGGGACGCCGAGACAGATCTGGATAGCTAGGATGAGCCACGATGTGCCATGCCGGAAGATCTTGAACGCGTCGCGCAGGTTGAGCTTCTCATCGACGATGGCTGAACTGTCGCGCTGGAGGCGGAGGTATGCGAGCTCCTTTTCCTGTGGGGTGAGGAAGGATGCATGCGCTGCAGAGCGAGGGAGGTACCACAGCGTGAAGATCGCCACGAGGATTGTTCCTCCTCCCTCGATGAGGAAGAGGTAGCGCCATGATGCCAGCGGGCCGGATTGAATCCGGAAAACGCCAAACGCGAGTAGTCCGGAGAAGGCAGAGGCGATGCTCTGCGCTGCGTAGAAGATGGCGAGACGGCGGGCTAGTTCTCCACGACGGTAGAATCTACGAGGTCAGCTAACCTTCGTGTGAGGTTTAGTAGAAGGGGACATACGTGGTGAGATAGTAAATAACCAACGGAAAGAACGCACTCTCCGCCATCCCCAGGAACCAGCGAATCGCCAACAGGCCTCCAAAATTGAACACCGCGACAACAAGGACTGTACACAACCCAAAAACAAACATCATACACGGCAGCACGCGGTTAGGACCGTACTTTTTGCCCAGGATACCCAGGAACGGTGCCGTCAGGACGTATGGGATAAAGAAGATGCTGAGAATCATGTTGTACTGGTTTCCCTTGAGATGGAGCGTCTCCTCCAACCCAGCGGTCTTCGCGTTCCCCAGATTCGACTTGTCGAGACTGTTGAAGAGATACATGACGGCCAGCACGGGGAGAACGCGGAGATCAAACTTCCAGACCAGGGCACGCTCTGCGCGAGGATCGATATCTGCATCTGGGGGCGAGTCATCTTTGGAGAGGGCTATGTCTGTGGTTTGCACAGGGGTTTTGGTGTCCAAGGAAGCCATGATTGTGTTTACTCGATGCTCATGTCGGTGCACTGCGTCTCGTCTATAACCTATATAGTCAGTCTCAACCAGTGCTTATCTCCAGATATCTCACTTGTCCGGAGATCTACCGATATCGGTTGATTCTACCGCATATCTTGCCTTGGCGACATGCGGCGCGGGATGGCTACAGATAAGCATCCGCCAATCAAGCCATTCGGTACCGGAAACCTTCGATATGATCAATCTGAATTGTTCATATCTCTTTTTCAGATCAGGCAGATAGGAAGGGAATGTCCACGGGAGAGGCAGCTAGGTCCATCAAGGTTGCATACAGTGCCTAAGAGTGAAACAGGCAAAGACGATGCCTTCCATGCTCCTTAGCCCAGATACCGGGAAAGGATTCCGAAATAGTAGACGGAAAATCCAATTGACTTCGCTTAGACATCCCATTCGATCCAGTGAACTGCAGAGTGAGAGCACTACTTGTGAGTCTTGACATGGGCATGGGCCCGGAACCTACGCCCAACTGCTTCATTGTCTGCAGTGCCGTCTTACTCTTGTAGCTGATGGCATGAATTGCTCAAACAGTTGCACGGACTGTGTCATGAACAATGTTGGATGTTTAATTCTTCTCATGCTCTGACTGAATTTGATACAACAAATCACTGCGGGATATGCTCCACTTTGCCCACGATATCCCGCAAGTGGACACTCTTTAAGACTGGTACACTTGGTGAATCACTTAGTACGCACGGAGTACTAAAGCGCCACAGCAAGCAATCACTAAAAATCCGATAGAGAGAGCAGTAAATCGACGGGTCAAGGGGAAATATCCACAATTATCATCCATATATCTATGCTCCAGCGTCGTCATGGTCAATATAGCTCCATCTGGCACCGACATGAAGACAAGAGAAGTAGTCATTGACGCAAGTCCAGCTTCAAGACTCAGACGACACTTGATGGCCTCGTGCGCCACGATCTGGCTCAGACGTGCGACCAATGCGCGACCAAGCCCTGCTCGTCCGTGATGCAGAGCTCCCCGAGCTCCTAGTGCCATACCGATCAAGAAAATCATTCCCACAGGAAGCGCACGGCTGTACAGCACACCCAATCGGGTTCTGGTATCTGCACGATCGACACTGCCAGTACAGACCCGACGACTCCATTTCCATGGATTTGTACATGTGCGATAGCAGGGTATCAACAATATCCCGCTGCTGCCTCCTGATTGCCCATTCCAGGCTGCACATCTCCACTGCATCCTGAATCGTAGGGTCTGCGCCTGCTTCCAGTAACCTCTGCACGGTAGCCGTTTGGCCTCTGTAGCAGGCGACGATGAGAGGGGTTGCGTTGTTACGGCCGCCGGACCTGATAAGTCTGTCCACCAGGGGCACGATGCCGTACGAGGCAGCGTAGTACAAGGGCTCCGTCCTGAGGGCTTGTGCAGCGGGAGCTTCATACAGAAGTACCTGGACCCAGGACGTATAGTTTCCCCCATCCGGGAGATGGCGGGTATTGAAGAAAGATAGAATCTCGTCGATTTCCGTATCGATGAGAGAATGGCTAGATGCCCAGGATGGACTGCAGTGGCTCGCCCAGTTCTCGGAAGCATACTTGAGCAGCGGGTACTCCAGACGGCTTGCGAGAGAACGGAAGTTTGGACAGGGCTGCTTGAAATTGTAGAGCATCAGGTACGTCAAGTATTTTTGCCAGATGCGCCGTGATCCCTCAGTCTCGTCCAGGCTGTAGTACGCCGCTGGCCCTTCTTTGATTGCGTCCGATGTTAGAAAAGCTTTGACTGAGGAATGCGCTAGAGCGACGAACAATGTACGCTCATCGTAAACTATCAGCCCTTGGCAGATTGAGAGAATCATGTGTGGGTCAAAAAGTCTACAGTCGTCGTCAATGTTCTTATCCCCTTTGGTCAGGATGAGTGCCTCGCTTAGCTCGGACAAGGTAATCTCCTGATAGCCTAAACTAAGCCAGAGCAGAGTTTCTCTTGCAATTTCCCGGTCATACGAGGGGATCCGACATAGGATGGTCTCGTAGGTGCCGTGCAGGCTTTCCGGCATACTTTCCAGAGCGCGAATGACGTCGCGGCCCGTTTTCTGGGCACTTAAAAGGTCTATTTGACATTGCACGTATCGGAACCTGCAGTAGATGCCTGAGTGACTTTTCAGCTTGGCGATAAAAACATACGTACATTCCACTTGCTTTCTCAAGCAAAACCTTCTTGATGCGGCATTTGATGTGCTCCGGTAGCCGTCGAAGACCCAGCACTAAAGTTAGCTGCGTGTTGAGAAACGCCTGAATGTTAATTCTATTCATTAAAGGTTTTATCTGTGCCCTGAGGATATGAATAGCAGTTAATACAGTGGGCGAAGTCGTGCTTATAACCATAATGTGAATGTTATCTGATGACTTCAGCAGGGTAAGTAATGCATTAAGGATCTTTGCACTTTCACTGCTCTTGTTAATCACATCCATAATGATAAACAGTTCTGATAGAAAACCTGCATATTTCAGAAGCAGGCTCATCAGTACGTCTGGTAGAGGAAGGGTGCGTTTCCTGAAACTTTCTTGCAACTCGTCGAGGATGCCTGGACAAGTCTCGGATAGCTGCACCAGCAATGCTCTCAGCAGCTAGACCAGCTCCTGCGATGAACTCAAGTGGAATGAGCAGTAGTAGTAAAACACTTGGCTGGAGGCGCGCCTGCTAATAGTATGTTTGACGGCTTCAATTGCCGTCGCGCTGATGGCAAGATTAGCAGTTGGCATGATGAAGGGTTCCCAAGATATACCATAAGACAGTCTTTCCTGATCCCGCTGATCTCCTGGTCAGCAATCACTACACCGACATCCAAGGACGACTCACATTTTCCCTCTAGGGAGAGCAATCGGCACTTGCTCGTCGTCGCAATCCACGACCGGAAAGGCCCGTCGATAAATCAAGCTCCAGTACCAGGCTGACAGAGCGATCGAGCCTTGCGATGCATTGAATCAAAGTCAACGGGACATATCCACGCCTTGATCTTCTCGTACTTTTTCTCTTTCAGGAATGAGACATGAGCAATGTATCAGGTAAACTGCTAGACCTACCTTCTCGTAATTGCCTCATCTCTCTGCTCCAGTCAACAACGGCGTCAATAGAACGTGCCATCTCCTTCTCAACGACCCTAGAGATCGTCAATTCTGCCCATGGCACCCGGCCTGAAAACGCACGATCTGTCGTTCAGAATCACCAGAATGAAATACGTCTTCAGCCTCTCAAGCTGAGCAATATTGCCCTCAAGACCCCCCTTCCTACTCGGCCACCCCAACTTCGCCAACCGCGACTGGCGCATCGTTCAACTCTGCAGATCGTCAAGGACCTCCTCCAAGACGGTATTAGCCTTGAGCAACGCGTCCCGAAACGGCGTTGACCCCGGCCCTTGAGCAGCCTTTTTCTCGCCGTGATCTGTCTGCATCTGTTCGAGAATCGCTTTCAGCGCGAAAAGCTCCCCGAACAGCTCGCAAATCTCACTGTCGGCATTTCTGACCTGTTTCGCAAAGTCATACACTCTTTTCGTGGTATGGGCTACCTGTAATATCAGGCCTAGAATGGAGATCGGGTCCGCCATGAGTCGGTCGTTGTTGTCTTGAAGCTCCTTTACCGGATGCGAGTGGGAGTAACGCCTACTCATGTAGAGGGACGAGGCTGTGCAGTAGCGACGAATCACTTGGCGTCAATGGGCTGATCGCCGCGGGGTATTCTGCCCCTCGTTTAGTTCAAATGAAGTTGTACTCTTGTCTCTCTTGATACTTTGGAGGAGCTGAAGTCATCAGCTTACGAGGGCAATCTCATGGCAATTGCAATATGCCGGAGAAAATGAACTAAGCTCCTCAGTCTATTGACACGGCTGCTTTGAACTAGAGCATTAATTGCAGCGAGTTATACAACTTAATCTTGAGATGCATCCATCTCTGCAAGCACTCGGTTCACATGCTCCGCAACATTATACGAGAAGACCTGCTGCGCGGGCTTGTTCATCACGCTGGGAAAGAAACCTACACCTCAGTCAGCCAGAACACCCAACCAATGGTATACATACCCATAAGCCACATGATAGAATACATCAAATACTCCTGGATCACTCCCATATCCCGCTTCTGGTTTTGCTTCTTCCTCGCATCGTCCAGTATGGCCTGAATCCGCGGCTGGCGTAGATCCATGTACTGCTTCGAAGCCATTTTAACTGCCTCCTTGCACTCCTTGACCCCATTATCCTCCATCCTGCCAACAAAGTAACCCAAAAATCTCGCAAATGACTCTACATCCTCCAGCGCCTGCGACGACCCCTGCCCCGACGTCGACGGAAGCGCATGCGCCGCATCCCCGACCAAGACTACGCCATCACGCTCCCACGTCGGCAGCTGCGGCGACGTCCAAGTGGGAAACATGTTCTTCACGCGCGCGGACTTGAGAACCTTCTGCACGACGGCATCTCCCCAGTGCTCGTGTCGCTTGTGCAACTGCTGCAGGACATCATCCATGTCCAGTGTTCTGAGGTCAGGACACTCGTCCACAGCATAGGTCGACCACCAGGCAAGCAGATCACCCGGCTCAGAAACATGATGCGGCGAGTCCCGCTGCGGAGCGGTCGAGGAACTGTTGCTGAAGAAGTAGCCGAAGAAGCCATTGCCGCCGAAGATGAAGTTCATCGATCCTTTTTCCACCAGGTCTTTGACGTCGCTGGCGGGGAGAAAGCCGCCAATACCACAGACACCTCTACTCCTGTCAGTTTCTGATAGTCGAGAGGAGAAAAGGATATGCCTCACTCATAATGAGGAGGAAACGGGTCCTCCTCTGTCTCCGGGAAAAGAGCCCGTTTGGCCACACTTTTGATCCCATCGGCGCCGATCACCAGGTCCGCTTCGACGGCCGGACTTCCATCTGTAAAGTAGACGGTATTTCGATCATCAGGACCGGCGAGGACTCGTGCCACTCGCTTCGTCACTATATCCCCGTCGGGGATCCTCGCGCGCAGACACCGCCATAGCCAGTCCCGGCTACAGCCGAGTGTGTGCATCGGCGGCTCGTCTCCTGCACCTGGAGCAGACGAGTCCATACGGATGAGAAGACGGCCGTGCTTGCTTTTCAGGTTTCCGTGCGAGACCACGTATCCACCGCGGACAATGTCCCGGAGGAGATCCTCGTCCAGCCGTTTGAGAACATTCAAGCCGTTGGGCCCGATACCTAAGCCTCCACCGACTATTAGGGTAGATGAATGCGTGGCGTCCTCTTGGTTACCGTTGGATGCGTCGGATCTGCGATCTCTGCTGGTATCGTGAGATTCGTAGATGGTGATTGTGTGGGAGCCGGGGAGGTGTTTCTTCAGCTGGAGGTAGGCGGTGCACCCGGAGATGCCTGCTCCAATGATGACAATCTTCATCTTGGATCGATAAGTTATGCAAAATATCAATGACGAGAGGAGATTCCTGGGATATCAGTGAAAATGTCTGCCTGGTGGCAATCCGCTGACTCATCACGCCGTATCCCTTAGTTCAAAGTTTGTATAGTTTCAAAAATAGCGAGATGCTGTGAGACTTGGGTGGCTAGCTTGGCAGTTCTCACTAGCACTAGGAATAAAAGATATCACAGCTTAAAGCCGACTATGCGAGGACTCTAGTGTACTCATTGGACAAAGTACGGCCCATTGACATATGGTCTCTGCACTTTTCTCTGCTTTCTGTCCCTCATCGAAGAAGAGGATACGGGACGTTTGGGATGTTTAAGTTATGGTATTATGCAAGTAGCTCTTATAAAGAGACCTATAGCTCTAAAGAACAGTTGATACTGCATGGCAGAGTCTCCTGTAGTCACGCATGATGGTGCAATACTTCGCTATGCAGGCATCCGATGATGCGATGTCGCGGGGACTTATATACCTCACCCACCTTGGTCCCCAGGCAGAGTTTGATAGCAGACATCAACGAGTATTCCAAGGATTCAAGATCACAAAATGGTCCAAGTTCAGACACTCTCCCAGCCTGATATTCAGTACCACCCAGACTACAAAAAATACCTCGCCCGCGGGCAACGTCGAAAGGCAACCGAGGATCTGCCCAAGTCTCTTCCTCCTGGGTTCCCGGAAAAACTTTCTTCTCCTCTTGTCTGGGAGGGCAAGGAGATAGAAAAGCGTGATGATTGGATCTATAAGCTGAATGACGCCCAGAGAGAGGAAATCCATGCCGCGTTGAATACCTTCAAGGGTAGGTTTGCTGAACCGATGGTAGGGCATATCTAACTTCCACAGCCCTGGGGCTTGGTCCCGGCCACATTAATCAAGAGACATTTCCCCTTCCCACTCTCCATCCCATACTGCGAGAACTATCCAACGAGATCCACAACGGTCGAGGCTTCTTCGTCTTCCGCGGCTTAGACGTCGATCGGTACTCCCGAGAAGACAACATCATCGTCTACGCCGGCGTATCCTCGCATATCGGCAGCCTCCGCGGACGGCAGCAGGACCAGCGACAAGCCGACGGGACCTCGGTCGTGCTCGCGCACATCAAGGATCTGACTCGCACGGATCAAGCAGGGAACATCGGCGGACCGGGCAGCACAGCCGACAAACAGGTCTTCCACACCGACGCGGGGGATATCGTCTCGCTGCTCTGTCTCCAGACAGCTGCAGAGGGCGGCGAAAGCCAGATATCCAGCAGCTGGCTGGTGTATAACATCCTCGCCAGGGAACGGCCGGATTTGATCTGGACGCTGTCGCAGGATTGGCCTGTGGATGGGTGAGTCGGTACCTTGCCCCGTCGATACCTCGCTTACAGCCTCAGATTCAATAACCCGGCGCGCCCGTATACATCGCGGCCCTTGCTCTACCACCAGGGAGCAACGCCATCGACGCCCGAACGCGTCCTCGTCCAATACGCCCGCCGCTACTTCACCGGCTTCCTCGCCCAGCCCCGCTCGACCAATATCCCACCCATCACCGAGGCGCAGGCCGAAGCGCTCGACGCGCTGCACTTCCTGGCGGAGGAGCACAGCGCCTCGCTAGATTTCCAGAAGGGTGATGTGCAGTATATCAATAACCTGAGCATTTTCCATGCCCGCAAGGGGTTCCGCGATGCGCCGGGGAAAGAGTAAGCTCGTCTCCACTGGCAATACGCCATACTAACAGTCGCAGGCGGCATTTGCTGCGTCTCTGGCTGCGGGACCCGGAGCATGCCTGGGAGACGCCTGAACCTCTGCGGGAGCGGTGGGACATTGTGTATGGAGATGTGACGCCGGAAGAGCAGGTGTTTCCTCTGGAGCCGAAGGTGCAGAGGAAGAATATCAGTGCTTAGTCTTGAACTTAGCCACGAGTGCACGAAGCAGATCTCTTAGCTAGATGATGTTAAACGCAATTCGCAGAATGTACAAATCCCAAGGGATAAGCTCTGTGGCTGCAGGAACCGACTTGGTATACTTGGCGAACTCTCTGCCTCGAATCATCCTTTGACGCCTCAGCCACGGAATGGACTTGTAAAGTCCTCCCCGAGGCTTGGCTGTAACTTTGTGGTATAAAAGTTAATCATAGATTTGACTTATCTACGGAGTATACGGAGTATGGAGAATAATGGATGATACTGATGGACATGGAGAGATGATCATAATGCTGACAGATTATCACCTGTACTCCTACTCCTTCACTGTAATACACGGAATCCAAATCGGCAGTTGACCCAGCATCGGCAAAGAATGACAGCTCTCTTCCGTGTGTCGGAGAATCACCGTCCGAAGAGACAGAAACAGCATATAAAAACCCCAGAAACGTGGGGGAACAGCGTATCAACAAGAGAGACAAGATCCACCTCCGCGTCCTCCCCGGATACCCCCACGGCAAGCATTCCAGCGACAACTACCGGTCATGTAGACTGCCTAGGCATCCCTCTAGTACTGAATAGCTTCATGTCAGAGACCAATCAGCGACGGCAATGTAATCTCTTCTCGAAATAGTCATCCCCACCTGCTTCAGAAAAAGGGGCCCCTCTCCCTGATTCCTTCTCAGTATCCCTTATGTTGTATGATTTTCAGTGGCCGTCATGCCATCCATCGACCTACCGGAACAGACCTTTGCCATGCCGGACGACACATCCAGAAAGACGCAGTCCGACTTTCTAGAAAAAACAGAAGCAGGCATCGACCTCGACGTGCCCGACGCAGCCAGCCAGCTGTCCGAGCCTCATCGCGCGTATCTGCTCCAGCGACATGGCACCCTGGACCTCGACCCCATCCCGAGCATGGACCCAGCGGATCCGTACAACTGGCCACTATGGAAGGTGAGATGGCCCTACTTGGCAGTGGAACAGCAGATTGAACAAAGCAGAGAATAACCAACCTCGTCCTGGTGGCCTTCCACGCGTTCATGGGCACCTTCATCGCCGCGGGCATCATCGCCGCGTACGAAGACATCGCGCTGGACCTGGGCGTGTCGATCCAAAAGGTCAGCTACCTCACCTCGCTGCAGATCGCCATCCTGGGCGGCGGCCCGCTATTCTGGAAACCGCTCTCGCATCGCTTCGGCCGGCGACCCATTTTCCTCCTTTCGCTGGCTCTGAGCTGCGCGTGCAATATCGGCTGCGCGAAGAGCCCGGACTATGCGTCCATGGCGGCGTGCAGGGCGCTCGTCGCCTTCTTCATCTGCCCGGCCATGGCGATCGGGAGTGCCGTGGTCACGGAGACGTTCTTCAAGCGCGAAAGAGCCAGATACATGGGTGTCTGGACGGTCATGGTGACGCTGGGGGTGCCGACTGGGCCGTTCATCTTCGGATTCGTCGCGCAGCGCGTGGGATACAGGTGGATCTACTGGGTGTTGGCCATCGTACGTAGACGTTCCTGAATACCGATCCAGGATACCACTGACGATTGACGAACAGACCAACGCCGTGCAATTCCTCCTCTACCTCTTCTTCGGCCCTGAAACCCGCTACACCGGCACAGACCTGGGCTCCAGCTCCAGCTCCAGCTCCAGCTCAGCCTTCCAGCGCGAGTACCTCTCCCTCCGACGCATCGATCCCACCCCCTTCACCGTCCGCGAATTCTACCACCCGCTCACCCTCTTCACCAACCCGCCCGTCCTCATCGCCGCGTGCGCCTACGCAATGGTCTTCCTCTTCGGCAGCGTCCTCAACTCCGTCGAAGTGCCCCAGCTCCTGCAGTCCAAGTTCGCCCTCAACGCCCAGCAACTCGGCCTCCAGTTCCTCGGCCTCATCGTCGGCTCCCTCCTCGGCGAGCAGCTCGGCGGCTCCGCCTCGGACGCATGGATGGCCCGCCGCGCCCGCCGCCTCGCCCGCCGCCCGGACCCGGAGTTCCGCCTCTGGCTCAGCTACCTCGGCTTCCTGCTGACCATCGCCGGGATGGTGGTCTTTCTCGTCTGCACGGAGCGCGCGACGCGCGGCGTGTGGACCGTCGCGCCGGTGGTCGGCACGGGGGTCGCGGCGTTTGGGAACCAGGTTGTCACGACGGTGATGACGACGTATGCGGTGGATGCGTACCCGGCCGATGCGGGGAGTATTGGCGTGTTTATCAATTTCGTGAGGTCGGAGTGGGGGTTTATCGGGCCTTTTTGGTATGTTTCTCTCTGTTTGTCTTTGGTGCTGGGACTGACGGATGGCTAGGTTCACGGCGATGTTTGAGAGCGTGGGGATCGCGGGGAGTGCGGGCGTGGTGACGGCGTTGATTATAGGGGTTAGTTTTGTTCCTACGGTCATACTGCAGTGGAGGGGGAGGAGGCTTCGTCAAATGTATGAGAAGTAGAGTATAGTCAAGTATACAATAGTTATAGACCCCCCTAAAGCCCTCGAGCCCTCCTCTCGTCAACGGTCAACTCGCTCTTGGCCCGGCTAATCCTCACAAACAACGCATTCACCACCAGCCCCAGCCCCGACAGCGCAACCTGGAACCAGAACGCAGCCTGGTAACTCTTCCTCAGCCCCAGCTCCTCGGTGTTGACCTGCACGATATCGGCAAACCCCAGGTGCAGCGCGATGCCCAGATGCAACGTGCAGTTGATCAGCGCCCCCGCCAGCCCCTGCTTCTCCAGCGGCATGTTACTCGTGATGAAGATGTTGGTGACGTTGAAGCTGATGTCGATCCCGATCGTCCCGCAGACCATGGCGGGGAAGACAAAGGGCCAGTAGCCCCCGTTCTCCGGCATGAGGGCGAAGAAGAGGCCCGCGCCGATGTACCCCAGGCAGGAGAGGAGCATGAGGATCGTGCCGGGGATGCGGTGCAGGATGAAGCCGCCGACGGTGGAGATGAGGAGGCCGCCAAACGCCATGGGGACCGTCCAGGCGACGATCAGGAGAGGACTGGCGTGCATGATGCCTTGCATACTGATGGATTAGCAGTGGCCAGACATATATAGGTGAGAGTGAGAACGTACTATAATGCGCCATACAGCAAAAAGATCCCCAGACTGCCGTATAAACAAACCAGCGAGAAGAGCAGCGGCTTCATGTAGCTGACCGCAAAGACATCCGCCGTCACCAGGGGATCCTCAACCACCCAACCCTCCACATAGACAAACCCCCCGAGAAGCACCACCCCCAGCGCAAGACACACACCGATATACACGGTCCCCCACTGCCTCGGGGCATGCGAGCTCCCCGCAATCGCAAACACAAGCAGCACCAGCGCCGGCACAAGCAGCCCCGCCCCGAGCCAATCCATGCGGACCTTCCTCGCCCTCCTGCGCTCCGCGAAATCCGACGGGATCGAGAAGAACGACGTGCAACCCGTCCCCGCCGCCAGGATGCCCCCGATGAAGAAATACCACCGCCAGCTCAGGAACCGGCCGCAGAGGCCCGAGAAGAAAATCCCGACGAAGAACCCCAGCGCCGCGCAGGCTCCGTACACGCTGAAGACGAGGTTCTTGCGCGGGCCCGGCCGGTACACGCTCCCCAGGATCATCAGGCCGGAGGGCAGGAACGCCGCGAGCGCGAGCCCCTGCAGCGCGCGGCAGATGACCAGCATCAGCCAGGTCTGCGAGACGCCGGCGAGGATGGAGGAGAGGGTGAGCCAGGTGGCGCCGAAGAGGTAGCATGCGAAGCCGCCGTACATGTCGGCCAGCCGGCCGAAGATGAGGAGGGTGGAGGTGACGGCTAGAGAGAGGGCGGTGGAGGGCCAGATGGACGAGGCGAGGGGGATGTCCAGTGCTGAGATGAGTGTTGGGAGGAGGATATTGGAGCCGGAGATGTAGTATTCCTACTTTGTCAGGGGAGCTTGATCATCAAGGGGAGGGGGCATACAGCAAGGATTTGAGACATGACGATGGAGAAGCAAAAGGTCAGTTCGGACCAGGCGCTGGAGAAGCAGGGTGGTCGCTCGCGTCCTAGTCTTTCAAGGCGGGCATCGCTATCTTCTTCTATATCCTGGGCAGGTGCCATGGCAGAGTAGTCTTCCAGTTTCTCAGATGGGACCATTCGGACTGACTTGTCGTCCATGGCAGTCAATCATACGAGCAATTCAACTTGTCCACTCGTCTCTCTTTATATCTACTTAAAGACATTCTGATTTCTAAGCCTGGGGAAATCTGCTCGACCATGTCGGCCAAGACGCTTGTTAGAGGTCACCTTCCGGAATAAGTTTCTACTCGGAGAATTGAACTCACGTTCAGTCTACGCATCTTTTGCCATGCAGGATATAGTATAGTACATATAAGCTCCAGGCAAAAGATTGCGTCTGGCTCTTGGCGCCGACTCTGGGCTTCCGTTTTAGGAAATTGGGAGGAGTGGGTCTGGATACGAGATCCACCGACAGTTAACTGTCCTTTGATCATCGATTAGTACAAGAGAGGATGTTTCTAGAGCAGAATCCTTTCTACAAATTCAGCTGTCGAGCTTTAGCTGTTGTGGTCTTGGAGGCTCTCCCCTTTGTCGGATGGGGAGGCTCTGCCCTTTGTCAGACGGCCTAGCCATTCTTCCATGTTTGCTTAGGGCTATCTTCTAGGGTATATAGCCCACCTCTTCTCTCTCTAGATAGGTAGCATATCATCAGCTTCATTGCTTCCTTCCCTCAGGATGTGGGCTCGCAGTAATTCCTCGATGACAATGAATCTTGTTGGAATAAGATACCACTATGATTATGGATATGAAACCCTAGACTGACGAGTACATCGTCCGGACACCTTTTAGCCTAGTGGTATCATATTTCTATGAATCTCTTATACTCCTTTACTTTGACCTGACTGCAGGGGCATACTGCAGGGCATACTGGACGAGTAGCTACAAGCTAAGCTACTGGCAAAGGTCATTCGAATTGCTCCATATCTTCTGGAAGACTACTCACGCCACCATCAGGCACACTGTCCGTCATCCCAGGTAGGCAACAGCCCTCAAACCCCAGTAAGGCCGAATCTAAGCTTTCCCGGGTCGATTCTTGCTGACATTGTGAGTCCGATGAAGATCAGTTGCAGATCATTTTCGAGATGAGAGGGTGCATCTCCTCAGTCCCTGATAACGGAGTACTCCGTTATGAGGCTGGCAATAGCCAGACAATGCACACTCCATTCACTTGTGTACGAAGTCAGGATAAAGGGCGCATCTCCTCAGGCTTCCTCTTAACGGAGTACTCCGTTATGAGCTGGCAAGTCAGACAATGTGAAGCATGATGTCCTATAAAATCAGTACTCCTGGAAGAATGCGACTCTCTGCCTTCTTTACTCGAGCATCTGTCTCGCGCCTTGCCGGACAACTCGCCATACAGACACTGTGTGGGATACTTCTATATCACTTCTTCGAGTATCAAAGCTACTGCATCATGGCTTCCTTCCGATCCGTTACCTTCCTCGATCTACCAGCAGAAGTGCACTTGATAATCGCTGAGTACCTCGACGCTGCCTCAGCAGTGGCCCTCAAGAATGCAAACAAATACCTCCGTTTCATTGTCACCGTCAAGAGCCCGAAGAAGTTTGACCTTCATGACTTCAACGTGTACCCCCTGACACTCGAATTGTGGCCGGAGTGAGTAGGATCTTCAAACAACCCGATCCAATATCCAGGGAGCTGCAGGGACATAGGTATCGATCCTTACTTACATACTTCTAGATACTGCAATCACTTTTTCTGTTTCGAATGTTGGAGGTTCCTCTCAGCAGACCATTTTTCGGAAGATCAGATCACCGGAAAGTGTAGTAAGGACGGCTACGCAGCTTCGGGGCGATTCTGCATCCCATGCGGCACAAACGGGGGGATGTACCACCCTTATGATCACCCCATCATGAGTGATCAGATCGCCTACTATTACCGCGACGGATGCGAAAGGCTGCAGTGAGCCGGGAAGCGTCTCGTCCACTTTCATCGTGCTCCAGCTGCGACGAGGAGGATGTCTTATGTAGTATTGGTATGTTTCAAGTCCTTTGATTTTGAAACTCTTGAGTGGCTTTGAGATACTGATATGAAGATTAGGGGATGGTAAATGGGAACGACGCAAGGTCTTGCGCTAGGTGGTCAATGGGACCGCCAGTTTGCCTCTTATGCCGAAACTCGGACTGTTTTGAGAAACTGGAGGATGTGTCTTCTTAGGGATCACCCTGAGGGTTAAATTTTGAAGCTTGCTGTGGCAGTGAAAGATGGTACAGGAAGGTTGGAAGTTAGGTCTCTTGAAGACAAGAGAACCGTCGCCCTTTGACTGTATGGGAGCCATAGTTCTAGCAATCCCATTCTTCTTCATGACCTTACGGCATAAACATTAGTATTGCAGATCGTACTATTACTAGGCCTTGCTCCTCTTTCCCGGAATAACAGTCTTTTCCAAAACTTATCTTCTGGAGCATTGTAGTCACTCGGTATGGCTGCCGCGAAGAGATACAAGGTTCATGCATATACCATATATCATCGACTTACTGTTGCAGCTCTAGCTGCTACGTAATCCATGGAACCACCGGGCACTGCGAATTCGTCTATTTATGCTGGTTATTGACTTTGATATATCCATATCCGAATCCGCCTACGAACTCATGCCAGCTTACAACTTGAGTAAGAGCTCATCTTCCAGTACTTTAGACTTTCAAATGGCATCATCGTAGCTAAGACAGTTCCTTGCCTATTTCTTGGCTTGTTTTCTTTCTCAGGAAGAAGTACATAGTAGAAGTGGCAATCCTCGCAACTATATAGATACAATTGCAATGGAAAATCGATATCTCCCAAGCTTCAAGGTAACAACCACCCTACATGCTCCTGGAGCTACGACTATAGCAGAGTTTGGACTGTTTTCTAGCACGTCTGTATCGAATCTACTGCTTGTTGTCTGGTTCTCTGTCTTGATTCCAAACCATAACTATAGCCATGGTGAATGCAGTGAATTCTCAACCTAAGCTTCAGTCTTATCTACGTGGATTTGTTCTACTTCTTGTGGAATTCTCCATGAACTACTTACTTAAGCCCTAAGAGTATCATTCACTACAGATAAAGGCAAGTTCCGCTAGAATCAGGAAACCAGCAGACATTCACATCAACTCATTCACCCCACAGTCAAGAATACTTAGTGTACAGTGAATTATACTGGAGATATCCGATATAAAAAGGAGATATCCGAAAAGCAGAGCTCTGAATCACCAAAGACTTCGCCACCGTGCTCTCTGTCATGGGTATAAAACCTTCTCTATCTTGCTCTCCTTCTCTCTTTCAACTACCTTTGCATCTTGCATCTTACATCTACAAGCATATCAAGCTTACTACCAATCTCACAAACCTCCAAAAAGATATCTACTCTCAAAACAATCAACATGGCACAGTACTCGCCTCTTACCAATCTCCCAACCGAGCTTCAGCTCCTCGTCCTTGAAAACCTCGACCACGGGTCGAAGGTCTGCCTCAGCCAAACAAACAGATACTTCCGCTCTCTCATCGACGTCAAGCAGCCGGGAGACGCCCACGAGCAGGTGTCCTTCCTGAAGAACTACGAACAATGGCCAGAGTGAGTTCCCCCTCGACGGACCACCCCTATCAGAACTAACAGGTTACAACCCCCAGAAACGCCAATAAACACGCCTGCTATGACTGTCGAATGATGCTTCCAGACGAGGAATTCGACGACAACCAAACCAGAGGCAGCCAGGCCAAAAACGGCTCTGAAGCTGAGAAGCGCTTCTGCATCCGTTGCGGATTGCTTAAACGCCTTTACAACCCCATCGCACCGGTCAGCATTCGCGGCAAGGTCTACTATCGCTGCACCAATTGCAAGGGGCTCCAGGGCTGGGGAAGCCGCTGCGTTTGGTGCTGGCAGTGTTCCAAGTGCCTGGGCTATAGGAAATTCGAGGTGATTCAGAGAGATCGGTGCCCAGAGTGTGGCTGCCGGGGATCACTTCGTGACATCGGACCAGAACGCACCGATGCTGCTCAGACTGCTACTCAGGCTGCCCCTGCTACTCAGACTACTCAGAGTTCTGAGGATAACGCTGGAGAGGGCAGCAGCAGCAGCGCTCAACCTTTGGAGGACGACTTTGCCAACTTGTTGGTTTAATCTATGCTTGGTTATCTGCATGTTGCCAATGACAGGTGGTCATTGAGCTTTGAATGATGGCGCTGGGTGTTCCAGCAATCAGGCTGTCTGCTTTGAACAAAAGATTCAATGCTTTCTCATATGTGATCGGTTTTGTACTTTGGGATATGTTTATTATGTGGTTTTGTCACAGGCTGGGTTGCCATGTATTGCAGTGAAATTGAAAAGCTGAGAAGGGCTGCAAACAAATAACAAAATATTTAATCTCATATCAATCTACTTAATGTCAAGTCGTATGCAAGCTAATAAATCCAGTCTGTCTCATTCTCGATCCTATCAAGTTCTTATGTAGACCGACGATTAAAGACCAAAGCAAGCTACTATAGTATATTAAAGGCTTTTCAATTTGCATGGTATTGATGCTATTATCTCCACAAAAGGTTTTAATGGGTGCTTTTAAACAATCGTAAGTCTACAGGCAAACTTGTATGGCAATCACTAAACTTATCTACTATGGATAGAATGAGACTGTGCTTTTGACAACCATCTACATCAGATTAGCTCATGAGAACTATGTTAATCGAACGCTCCTCCAGGATTGAGGAACTCGCAGAGAGAAGACATACAGATTCCGAGATATTTGCATGTTTTTTAACACTGGTTTTAGTGACTGATCGAATACCAGGCTTCCTTTGCTTCCTTGACCACTACTACAGTGAACTGAACTAGGCAAAAATGCAGTGCTTATTTCAGCCATTGTGCTCACTCGACCAAGCTGACTCTACTGCTATGAGACTGCTCTGCTTGGCGAGGCAATGTCTGTGCTTCATGTCATCTTAGGTGAAGCAAGTGTACCAGTTTTGCTCCCACTGCTACTCCAGGCTATGTGCGTGCTCTTTGCGGCAAGACAGTAAAGAGGGAATTATAGTCCTCCGTTGGCTGGACGACAGCAACCACAAATTGGATGCTACAGGAGAACTCTCTCGAACCTTGGCACTCATGCCTTAGATCGAGTGAGTGACGTTCGACAGAGCTAAGGGATGCGAAAGCAAGGGGCTATGGTTACAGTATCTCAGATATATCATTGGCATAGAAGCTTGAAGGAGCCGTAGCTCGGTTGAAATCTTGCTATTGACAAGGTTACGCGCAACCTAGCGGACTTTGGACTCTTCGACGATCCAGCGATAGTCGACACGCAGATCCTCGAGGCTGTCGATCAAATTGGGCCCGGGACTATGTCCGTGACGATGTACCTGCTTGCTCTCTGCTATTTGGAGGCAACTCCGTAAGACTAGACGTCACCCTGCGACATACTATCTGGCCGACGTCGCCAAACAGAATCGCTTCAAATTGTCCATGACTGTCGTTGACTACCCGAGGCATATCTAGCCAGACTCACAGCACTCTCCTCAGGCAGACTCCGCCCATGAACATCCTTCCTTTCAGTACGGTGTCTCAGGTTTGGACATGTGGACATCCCCAAGAAGCTACCATACAGCCTGCTAATTTCTGTTCGAGCACAAGGATCATGGACGAGTGGCATCCATGGTTTGCCCTGCCATGTCGTGATGACGGAGAGTCATCTGCCATCCGCTGAGCCTACCTTATGACTGCCATGAAGTCAAAGCAAGCAGCGCCAAGTTACGAGCGGAAGCCTTTAGCTTGACAAGTCGGTCTAATTTCCGAAGGTCGTATTCGCTGGCTTGGTCGTTGGGGTTGATCGAACGAATACGACGTGTGTCGATCATATACGAGGTCTGTGTAATGAACACGAGGTATATTTAGCTATATCAACATAAGATACGCCACGTGCGTTGATACTCAAGAATGTCTGGATAACGCTGATCAGGATCCCCAGAAGTAATCTCTCGCCATGGCTATAAAACCTCGTCACAGTCTGCTGCCGGATTCACACAGCAATAACCCAGGCTGGCGAGATGCAATCGATGCGCTTCATCATCCTGGCCCTGCTTCTGCAGGTCCTCCCAGCATGGGCAATAAACGACCCGGCCAAATCAGCCACCCCCTACCACGATGAATTCCCCCTCTTCCGCAGCGCCAACATGGCCTCGCCGGACAAACTCTCAACAGGAATCGGCTTTCATTCCTTCCGCATCCCCGCCGTGATCCGCACCACGACCGGCCGCATCCTCGCCTTCGCCGAGGGCCGCCGGCACACGAACCAGGACTTTGGCGACATCAACCTCGTGTACAAGCGCACAAAGACAACCTCGAACAACGGCGCCACCGCCTCGGACTGGGAGTCCCTGCGCGAAGTCGTCGGGTCCGGCGCAGGCACCTGGGGCAATCCCACCCCCGTCGTCGACGCCGACAACACCATCTACCTGTTCCTCTCGTGGAACGGCGCAGGCTACAGCCAGCACGGCAACGACGCCCTGCCCGACGGCACGGTGACCAAAAAAATCGACTCGACCTGGGACGGCCGCCGCCATCTGTATCTCACCGTGTCGACCGACGACGGGAACACCTGGTCCCAGCCCGTTGATCTCACAACGCAACTCACCCCCACCGGCTGGGCCTGGGACGCCGTCGGCCCGGGCAACGGCATCCGCCTGACGACGGGCGAGCTGGTCGTGCCCGCCATGGGCCGCAACCTCGTCGGGCGCGGGGCACCGGGGAACCGCACGTGGAGCGTGCAGCGGCTGGGCGGGGCCGGGGCGGAGGGGACGATCGCGCAGACGCCGGACGGCAGGCTGTACCGCAGCGACCGGCCCAGCGCCAAGGGGTACCGGATCGTGGCGCGGGGGACGCTGGACGGCGGGTTCGGGGCGTTCGCGACGGACACGGGGCTGCCGGACCCTGCGTGCGAGGGGTCGGTGCTGCGGTATAACAGCGATGCGCCGGCGCGGATGATCTTTCTGAATTCCGCGTCTGGGACGAGTCGGCGGGCGATGCGCGTGCGGATCAGCTACGATGAGGACGCGGGCAAGTTCGATTATGGGCGGAAGCTGGGGGATGCGCCGGTTAGCGGGGCGGGATATGAGGGGGGGTATTCAAGTATGACCAAGACAGGGGATTACAAGATTGGGGCGTTGGTGGAGAGCAATTTCTTCAATGATGGGACGGGGAAGAATTCGTACCGGTGTATCCTGTGGAGGAGGTTCAATCTGTCGTGGATCCTGAATGGACCGAACAATTAACTTGTCTTCTGGTGGGAATGTTACGTGTATAGATCGGCAAGGGAGTTGTCGTACCCCTTGCTATCCCTAGTTTGGCAGAAATAAATACTCACATCCTGCATTCTCTATCTCTCCATCATACAATACTATACTCATACGACTCGTCCGATACTGACAAAATGCATCTCTGGGTCATGCTCTTCGTCCTCTCGGCCGCAGCCAAAAACACCACCGTGGGTTATCCGCTATACTTGGAACGCAGCAACTAACAGGACACTGGACACTGCAGATCGGGCTGGAAACAATCGAAGAGGGCAGCAAATCAATCAGCGTGCCCCTGGGCGATTGTCACAACCTAGATTCTTAGTACGTGCCGCGCCAAAGCGCATAGATGCCAGCTGACGGCTGCAGTGAGGTGTTGACGGTCTCGGTCAAGAAGCCATGTCGATTCTTCACGTTCGTCTCTCTCCTCATTAAAGCCCTCAATAATTGAGACTGACCAAACAGAGGCCCCATGTGTATCGGACGGACGACATTGCTCAAACCCGGCGTGCACGAGAGCGACGAACCCGTGCCGATCTGGAGTGTGTTTTGCGAGGACGAGCCGGAACAGAAACTGGAGTTGTGAGCAGGCATGTACGTACAGGTCAAAGTACGGAATAGCATGGCAATCATCGTATGTTTGGGATATTCTCCTGGAGACCGGTTCGGCGTCAATTGGCCGGCGGATCACTGTGGCTGGCAGAGGTTACACAGGGGTCTCGGTCTAGATCGTGATGGCAGATTTAAATACTTGACCTGCCCAGTCTTTGTGTTCAAGTAATCATGCTTGCTTTGGTGTTTTTCGTCGTCGGCGTGTCAATTGCATCCCCGATTGCCCTGCCATGTAGGGTTCGGAGAGAATGGTATGTGATGCGCCCACAGAGGATCAGATATTGATTGAATAGGGGCGCTTTGACGAAACCTGAGCGACTGGACTACATCGATGCTCTGTTCTGTCTGCGGTCTCTTCCTTCGATCCTCCCGAAGGATCAATATCCCGGCGTCCAGGATCGATTCGACGACTTTGTTGCGTATGTATCCACCCTTCTTGCTACCATCATTGACATATTGCAGAACACACATCAACTACACCGCGCACATCCACAACAACGGCCTCTTCCTCCCCTGGCACCGTCACTTCCTGCACCTCTTCGAGACAGCCCTCCGCACCGAATGCGGGTACAATGGCTCCATCCCCTACTGGAACTGGCCTGCCCACCCCAACCTCACCACCTCCCCCCTCTTCGACAA